GTGTGGCATAGATCAACATAATTGAATGAAGACTACAGAAAGACCAGTATTTGAAAAAGGTGATGTTTCAGTCAATGAGGAAAAGATGAACTCTCCAACATATGGGGTTGGAAACAAAGTTGGATCTCTACTTCACACCTTTTATCAGGCCGAATTCCAAATACATCAAAGACTTGCATTTATAAAATGAAAGCATCAAAGTACAAGGGGAGACCTTGGGGGGAATGCTTTAAAAGTTCGAAATGGGTAAAGCCTTTCAAATTAAGACATAAAACCATAAAATAAACCACCGTAAGCAATGTCAAAAATTAAACTGGGACAAGAATTTGCAATTCTTAAAACCACTCCAAGTTCATTTCCTAATATAGAAAAAGCTCCTTAAAAAAAAAAAAAAAAAACAATAAGAAACAAGCACCATAAAGGAAAAATGGCAACAGTTCACCAAAAAAAAAAAAAAAAAATTAAATATATGAAAAAATGCTCAAACTTACAGAGAAACTTTAAGAATATACCAAGATAAGGGCGCCTGGGTGGCTTGTCAATTAAGCGTCTGTCTGCCTTTGGCTCAGGTCATGATCTCAGGGTCCTGGGATGGAGCCCGGTCTGGGGCTCCCCGCTCAGCGGGGAGTCTGCTTATCTCTCTCCCTTTGCCACTCCCCCTGCTTGTGCTCTCTCATTCTCTCTCTCAAATGAATAAATAAAATCTTAAAAATCAGACTACCGAAAACTCGGTAACATACCATGTTGGCAAGGAGGCATCATCACGTACCGCTGATGGAAGTGTAAATCCTTCAGCTCTGAGAAGGGCAGTTTGGCAAGATCCATCAGAATCCACATTCCTGTTCTATTGGATTCAGACATTTCTTTTCTAGAAAAGCTGTACAATTACCTTCATATATTTATAAGCTTATTCACAGCAGCCCTGTTCGTAATAGCACAATATTGGAGGCGAGCTAAATGTCCCCCAGTAAATATGACAGAGTGTTGTACGGCCATAAAAAAGAATTTAGGAGCCTCTTAATGTGCCAAGACAGAAAGATCTCCAATACATATTAAGCAAAAGACTGCATATAGTAAGCTCCCAGTTGGTTAAAAGGGGGGACATGAATATATAATCACACGTTCTTATTTATGCAGGAAGTGTGACCCAGACAATACACAAGAAATAAAATGCAGTTGCCTATAGGGGGAAAACGTGGTGTCTGGAGAGCAGATGCAGGAGGGAGCATTTTTACTGTATGTCCTTTTATACTTTGGGTTTTAGAACACATGAAGATATTACCTATTGAAAAAAATTGAATGAAGCTATTAATTTAATAAATAAAAACTGGTTATATTGACTCACATAGAGGGGAAAGGATTTTGCTGTATTTTTTTCCACTATTAAATAAACTACCCCGTTCCTTAAAAAAATGTCCCCGCTCCTCAAAAGTACTCTGTCCTTGTATTTGAGGACTGGTGGGGATTAATATCTAGGCAGAAGTCCCTCTTTGCAAAGTTGTCAGTCCACAAGTTTGATGAGTACCTACTATGTGCCCAGCCCCTGACAGCACCAGGGGAGCACCCAAGAAGGAGAAAAGCACACTCACCCTGTCCTTGCAAGCTGGGCCTTAGACCCAGCAAGGCTGAGAAATGATAGTCCCTGACCTTCCCAGGGAGGCTTTGAAGACCCCTCGTGAACAGGCAGCACTAAAAGCCAGCAGGTGGGGGGATCCTGGGGCAGGAAAAGGAAGTCGAAAGTTGGGAGTCCGGGGCATCAGTGCTGCTAAGGGGGAGGGAGGGAAAACCAAGAGGGACCACCACCCTCAGCTGCTGTACAGCAAGCAGAATTTCAGGGACTCCACCCTCCTTCAGCAGCCCTTGTCCCCTAACCCCCTTGTAGGGAAGGGTGGATGTCCTCTCTCTTTTCCTCGGCCTAAGCAAGCATGGCCCTGGGCGGCCTCGGCTCTCCCCTCCGCTGAAACCCCCACTCAGGAACTCACTGAAAGCCCCGCACCAGACGGGTTTGGTCCCAGCCGTGGGGGTATTTTTCTTTTTAATGAGACTGAAGACTCCCAGAGGAATAAAGTTTTAACCATGGCATTTCTGGCCCTCAGGGGACTTTCCAGCTATACTCATCTTCCCTGTCACCAAAGAAAGGAACATAAGTCACTGTCTCTTCTTTGGGACTTGGTTTTGTGTGGGGAGGCCGAGCTTTAGAGAAATACAGACAGAGGGGAAATTTGAGGAGGTGAGTAGTGGCAGGATTTCTGGCATCCGCGGCAGGACTGTGTGAAGACGTGCTTTTTGGCCTGAGGCCTCTCTTCCCCACAGCAGAGGGGTAGCCTGCAGAACATGCTCGGCCCTCATGGGCCCCCTGGGCCTTCAGTGTGGGGCAGCTTCTTCCCTCAGGGAGAAGAGGGGGCAGGAAGCAAGGGGACGGTGTGCACCTGGGCCAGAGCAAGGGCAGGCAAAGAGCAGAAGATGGGGAGGGGTAAGACGTTCCAGCTTCTCTTGCCCCGAGGGGGAATCCTGAGCAGAAGGAAATGGCTGAGTTGAACTTTCAGATGGGCAAGGCTCAGGCTGGCTTGGAATCTTCCGAATCCACTCCATCCACACAAAGCAGAAAGGCGCCCTTCTGACAAGGCTTTAAAAGAGAGGGCTTTGAGAGGTAGCACGTGGGTCCTGTCTCAAACTGGGGTTGGAGGCTGGCATTGGAAGAAGTCCACCAACGCGAAGGCAGGAAGGTGAAGAAGTGTAGTGCACAGAGGCAGGAACGCCAGCCTTTGGAGCAGGGTGGGGACCGAGTTCAAGTCCCAGTGGAGTCAACCTCCTCGTCACCTTTCAGAAGTCACCTACCTTCTTCCAGCTTCCATCTACTTGCTGCTGCCACGATCATAGCAAAGCATGCTCTTCTGAACCCTCGCTGTTGTTCAGAGCATGAATGTGGTTTGTAGACCACAGAGGTGCTTTCCACACGTTTGTTGTTGCTGTTCCTAATACACGTGTTGCCATGGCAATCATCGTGCGCGCGTGTGGGCAAGGTAGCACATTAGATTAGGGAGCATGAAGGGACTGTAACTCAGCAGGGCACACAGGTTCACCTCTCAATGACTCCCACGTTTGCAGGTGGGCGGACAGAACCCCCGGTTCCCTCTGACTCTGGCTCCTCGTGGAGGAAGTGAGTGTAATGCTATAAAGGCCTGCTACTTCCACACACTTCATCTCAACCTTCAGACAAGCAGGAATGTGTCATCCCAATTTGATAGACAAGGTAACAGACCAGCAAGGTGACTTCACCAGGGCCATGCCACCCTAGGGATTAATACCCAGGCCTCCCATGCCCAAGTCTGTGTTCCTCTCCCTTCCCTCCCACCCTGGCTGGAGCTGAGCCTTGACCACACATGGTGGCCAGGGGGGTAGATCGGGGAGCCTGGTCCCAGGGGCTCCGCTTGGTTGGGCTCACTGTCCTTTCTGTAGTTCATAAGCATCTGCTTAGAACAGCATATTTTAATGAGCTTTCTCTTTTCTCAAGAAGTCCCAGCTGTAGGCGGAAACAGGGCCGAGGGTGCAAAGCAGGCAGGCCCTGAAGTGCTTCCTGCCCCACCTTTGCTCTCAGGCCTGGATTCCTGATGGTGGCTGGAGTTCAAGTCCAGACGCCAGCAGGCTTGTGAGAAAGACCCCTCTTGCTCTGTGTGCAGGGCAATGGGCCTTCTTTGCAAGACCTGCCCAGCCCAGCCCAGCATGACTGCTGAGGGAGGACCAGGGCAGGGACTGTCCTCTGACAGTCTGGGTCCTTCTATGGAACGGGTGTGGGACTTGCAGATTTGGTCAGTAGGGGGATTCTTACCCAGAACTTCAAATTTTATACAAGGTCTTACATGGTACCCCAAATTCTAAAGCAAGAGAGCTGCTCTGGCTGAGGCCAGTATACCACCCCCCGCCCCTGTCATCCCATGTGGTACTCACTCACTGCCCAGAACCGCCTGGGCTCTGTAGGGCCTGGTTGTTGCCACCAGTGTGTCTTCCCTCCTGTCCCCAGACACTTACCCCCTTTGCCTGCTTGCCCTATGAAGACTGATCTTGCACAGAGGTCATGCTCCCGCAGGCAGGTCTCCCATCGTCCTCCGCGTGAATTTCTTTTTCTTTTTCTTTTTTTTTTTAAGATTTTATTTATTTATTTGACAGAGAGAGGGAACACAAGCAAGGGGAGTGGGAGAGGGAGAAGCAGGCTTCCCACCAAGCGGGGAGCCCAATGCAAGGCTCAAGCCCAGGACCCTGGGATCATGACCTGAGCCGAAGGCAGACGCTTAATGACTGAGCCACCCAGGCACCCCCTCCACATGAATTTCAAACTCCTCTTGCATTCTAGGCTTTTCGGGGTTGGTTTCAACATGCCTGTCTTGCCCCTCCATTCACCAGGGCCCAATTCTCTGGTCCCTTCACTGTCTTTGGCTCCCACCGTGTGGTCTTTCCCTTCCTTCCCCCCTTCTCCCTTCATGCTGTCTCCAAACCTAACCCTCTCTCCAAGCTTCTCTTGAGAGTCACTTCGTGCTGCTGCCCTCCCAGCCTGCACCAGCCAGCAGTGGTCTCCCCCACGACACAAGAGCTCACATAGTCAGCGTTCTGTAAAGTAGCGTCTGATTCTTCCGTGGTTTTAGCCGAGTCATTGCTGTTAGTATGCATCCCTCCAGCTGACCCCATTAACTCACAAAGGAAGGAGGAGGAGGTGCTTCTTCCTCTCATATCATATGGATTTCAGCACACAGTAGGGCTTCAATAAATATCTACTGATTTTATTAGACCGCAGCAGTCTTGAGATATCCCTGATGTTATGGAAGCTCTTCCCTCATGTTGAGGAGAATGGAGGCACTTTTGGGGGTTGGGCAGTGTGGGCGAGAGCCCTGGACTGAGGTCGGTTGCCAGCAGATTTCCCTGAGATGTGCACATCTCTCCTAACTCAAGAAGACCCTATTGGGATGTCTGAAGCATTAATTGTGTGGGTGTGGCCCATCTTGCAGGGATTTGAAACTGGACAACATCCTTCTGGATGCAGAAGGTCACTGCAAGCTGGCCGACTTTGGGATGTGCAAGGAAGGGATTCTGAACGGTGTCACAACCACCACATTCTGTGGAACTCCTGACTACATTGCACCCGAGGTAAGATGGTGCGCAGAGGGCCACATTCTTCTGCCAGGGCTTAGGCAGGCGCCGTTCCCTTGCAATGAGGTCACCTAGTGGTGCTGGGGGAAAGCACTAGAAAACCAGGAGAGATTCTAAGGGAGGAGGGAGAAAAGGAAGGGTAGAAGGCTCACTGATTTCTCCATAAGGAAGTGGTGGTGATGGAGGAGATAACAGGCCAACTGTGAGCAACGGGCCATTCCCCACACCAGGACAGAGACTCGCTGGGCCTTACCCTTCCATCTCAGTCCAGAACTACCAATGGACTGGGACCAGGAGGACTTTGTAGACTTGTATCATTATCTTCACTTCTTAATAACCAGAATAAAGGAGTGCCATCGATAAAGGAAGAAATTAGCTTCATTAGCTGTAATGTACCTACAGTAAAACCAGGAATTATTTGCCATTTCTAGCATAGTGGTGATTCTGCATGGCGGGCCACAGGGTCGAGCAGGAAGAGGAAAGCGTGCCTTGTTATAAATGTAGATCAGAGATGTTCATTGGGAACCCGACCGACGGTCTGCCTTTCGTGAAGTTGTTTGGATGTTTTGTTCATCATAAAGTGCTTATTGACCTTGAGTTTCTCGAGTCAGTCTTGCCTAGGCTGAGAGATACCTTGTGTGATATGATTCAGATGTCATAGATGCTGAATAAAAATGGCCTTGAGGGTTCCCTTATCCCATGTAAGATGGGAAGGAGATACCAACGCCCCCGTAAGCACTGCCCATGGGGCGTAGGTGTTCGTTAGCGCATTCCGATTGCGTTTCCTTTCAGTTGGCATTGTTTGAGCACCTGCCAGACACAAAGCAATGTGGGGATGAAGAACTGACTAAGCACTCCTCATTCTCCTGAAAGAGCTTCTGGTGTAGAGGCAGTGGGCTCTAAGTAAACAGCTAATTAAGCAGAATAAATAGATATAAAAGACAAGATGGTATCCTCAGGGATAAGGGAAGGCTTCTTGGAACACCCGGTAGATGAACTGAGTTGTCGAGAATCAGCAGGATTTCCTTTGGTGGTAGGTGTGGGAAGCATTTCTGAAAACAACCAGGGGATTGGGGTGGGGGGCAGGGCAGCACAGGAGGTTCAGTATTCCTGGACTCTGAATCCTTTAGGGCAGGGGCTGTGTCTCTTCTGAGTACTCCCAGGATCCCGCACACAGATCAGGCTCTTAGTAATGGTTTTTTGAATGAACAAATGAATTTGAACTTGTGACACTCAATGTGAGCAAAGACGAATGGATGAGAATATCCTTGGCCTTCATTCAGGGAAGGAAAATAGTATAGGTAGAACAGAGGAGTTCTTAATGCTCATAGTAATGAATAAAATTAGGAAAGAGGGCCAAGGGAAGTGGCCTTTATCCTAGAGGATCTGTAGACCCACTGAGAGTTTTCCGGTGGACAGTGTCCGGGTCTCTCAGACCTGTCCCAGAAAGAAGACAGACAACAGCAATCTTGTGCAGAAGGCAGAGAGTGCGGGAAGGACAGTTAAGAGACTTTTCACAGACCAGACAAGACATGGGGGGCCCGAGGAGAGGCGTGAGGATGGTAAGTATAGTTGAGCTCCCTTTAGAACCTTTACCTTCTAAGAGATCTGAAAGCAGAGATTTCAATCAGTCTTCTTTAGCAGGAACACTAGGAATTTAATCTTCAAGGAGAAATCGGTAAAAGCGAGGGCCCTCAGTTGGGACCTGCTTTTTTACCGTCTTCCTCATTCATTCCTTCTCAACAGAATGCCTGGTTCCAGTCCTCTGTAAGGAGGAGTCAAAGGGTTAACAGGACAGCAGAGTAGTTAAGGACCCAGCCCAAGGCAAACAGTCACTTTATGATGAACAAAACATCCACACAGCTTTCATGACAGGCAGTCCATTGACGCGAGTCACAATGAACAGTGCTGATCTCTCTGTTTATAATGAGGCACAGACATTCTTCCTTCCCATTCCTTCTTTGTGCCCACAATGCAGAATCACCGCTACATGCGAAATGGCGAGAAATCCTGGTCTTACTGTAGGCGAATTACAGTTATAAAGCTATTGCTACTTTTATCAAGGGCTATTGGGGAGATAAAATAAAATTATGCCTCCCACGCATTTAGCACAGTGCCTGGCCCACAGCGAGCACTGGGTCGTTATCATCACTGTTGCCGGCTTGTCTGGAGGCGGGGGCGGGGGTGAGGCACAGTCCTGAGAGTTGAGATTCTAGGCTAGACTGGACCACTGATGCCCCCATGTGACCTTGACCAAGTCACAGAAGTGTTTTAGACCCTCAGCTTCCTCATCTTTCAAATGGGAAGAGCACTTCATGCCCTACCTACCTCATCAAGCTGTTTTGAGAGTCTAATGAGATTAGAGCATGGGAATGCTTGAGAAACCATAAGCCTCTATTCAGATAGGAGGGGCTGTGAGGCCCCTGGTTAACCCTGAAACCACAGACACCTAATGAGGTCCTAGCTCTTCCCCAACACTTCTCGTCCCACCATGCACCCTGGGCTAGCCCCTGCTGCACCCTTTCTCCTTTCCACATGCCCAGCGCCTGCTCCCCAGGAAATGGCAGCCAGCCCTGGGTATGACTGGCACCACTGGGCCTGATCCTTGCCCTTCTACCTCAGCTCTGAGCCACTCGAGGGGTTAGCCACCGCACCCGTGCCCTCCCATGGCATGTGAAGCCTTGCCCTTCTCACTGCTGCATTGCTGACAGGCCGGTTAAGAAGCAGAAAATTAGGACCCAGCCCCAAAGGAATTTTATGAAAGAGGCCACCCAAAATGGGAAGGCTCTGGAGTGGGCCTGGGGAAGGGTGGGCAGGGCCGCTCTGTGGTTTCTGCAGAGCCATCCTGTCTGAGCACACATAGGCCACCTGGAGGTCACCTCCCCCCCATCCTGTGGAGGCACAGGACCCAGATCTGCCACATCCTGGAGGCTGGAGGGTGGCCACCCCAGCATTCCTAGCCGTCTGAACCCAGAGAGAAGGGTGTGCACCCAGCGAGACACACACGGTGGGCACACATGGCCACCAGTCTCCCAAGCGCTGGAATTGGCCTGGTCACGGTGGAGGGCTCAGAAGCATGCTAGAGCCCCTACCCTTGCTGGCTTAGAGATGCCCAGGGGAAACAACTGACCATGAAAAAATAACTAAAATCACGGTTTATATGGAAAGTGCTTGCAGTTCTTAGGGACAGGAAAGGGTCTTAGGATGTGTCAGAAGAGACGAGAAAAGCTGGGGAAATTCGGGAAAGCTTTCTGGAGGAGATGCATGATAACCATGCCCTTGAAACCAGCAGTGCCATGGTGAGCCGGGTGGGGCGCTAAATCTTTCATGATTGAAGGAGCCACTGACTTTGGCTTTGACTTTGGAACCGAGCAGCATTTACTGGCTTCTCAGGACAGCAGAGCCTGTAGCTCTGACCTTTCAGTTACCATGTGTGGACCACTGGGCTAAGAGACCAAAGATTCTCACCAGACAGATTGCCAGCCCCCAATAACTCAAAGTTGGCTGTGTTTGCTTACGTTTCTTTTCATTCTAAATTCAAAGGATTCCTAAAACATGCATGTTTTTACTGTTTTCAAAATAATTCCACCTAAGTCTTTTTTTTTTTTTAAGGATTTTATTTATTTACTTGAGAGAGAGAGAGAGAGAGAATGAGCAGGCAGAGGGACAAGCAGACTCCCCGCTGAGCAGGGAGCCTGATTTGGGGCTCAATTCCAGGACCCTGGGATCATGACCTGGGCTGAAGGCAGATGCTTAACCAACTGAGCCACCCAGGCACCCTCTACCTAAGTCCATGACAGCATGTGTCCATGACCTCTACCTAAGTCTTTTTACTTAATCCCAGGCAGCCTGTAGTCTGTGGTCTCTAGAATGGTGTTTTGAGGAGACCAGCAAAAGTCCCAGCACTCCCATTCAGCCTTCTCTTCCCTGGCCATCCTGAAATCTGAGAACTGAGCTGGAGCCTCATTCCAAACAGGTTACCTGAGAAGTTACCTGCCTGGGGTGTCCCGCAAGCTGAAGTCACTGGGCATGGCCTTTTGCCATTTGGGGTAAAGTTCTGGATGGACACCCCTTTACATGCACCCCAGCCATGCTGGTCCTCTATCACCTTCACTTTTTGGAATTCTTCATAGAATTACAGAGCTGAGAGTAACCCGGAGAGGCCATCTCATCTGTGTGTTTGTGTGCAGCACCATGCCTAATCTGGCTGACAAAAGGAGAAAATAATTATGGGATGGGGATCTCACTTCACAAACCCTTCCTTAGCAGTGGGGCCAGCTCAGCATTTATTTCTACTCTGAGCCAAACATATATCCTTGACCTGCTGCATGCTCTCTAGACGTGGAGACCAAACCTAACAGAAGAAAACTTGGATTTCATACCAACTTGCGATTATATAGAGTTTTGTAGTTTGCAACATGCTTTCAAAATCTTCCACGTTAGCTAATCTTAGGAGGCTAAACTGAGAATCTGAGCTTCATGTGATGAGGAAGTCAAGTGAATGGCTCAAGATCACCCAGAAAAACATAGCCCCAAACTTGGGATGGAATAGAAACACCCTGGTCAGTCTTCTGTCTCAGCCACTGTAACACATGGCCAGGGCTCCAGAAAAATAGGATTGGGGGCCATTACTGGCTTTTCAGAAGGTTCTGCAGCTTCTTTAGGTAGCATTCCTCCCAGACATTGAAATTAGGACTCAGTTCGTAAAACTGCGGTCCCCACACATCATTGTGCAGGAAGCTGATGGCAACAGAGTATCCTGCAGCCATGTGTCGCACATACATTTAGCATAAATGAATTTGACTTCTCCTTCGGTGAGAAGAAAAGAAGCAAGAGAGACTGAGAGTGTAGGTAAGAAAAATGACCTGTGACAAAGACAAAGCACACTGGATAGTCAAGGAGATGACTTAACTGGGGCTATCGCACTAGGGAGAAGGTTCTGCTCAAGAGTGAGAAAAAATGAAGGGGCCTGAGCCTTATGGAGGCAGGTACACAAGGGATTCATCAACGAGTTTTGTGGGAGTCGTGATGAACATTGGAGGTGGGTCTTTTCCTGGAATATCCAAAAGCATAGGCATCCTTTGTGGTTAGAACACAAAAGGATGGGGAGATTTATTAACTATAGTTTCTTTTCCAAAAACATAGGGCTCAGGCAAATTCAACATTGTCACAATTTAAAGAAGACTGAGATTCTGCTCACCTTCCCACTCAGTGTGAGATGGTCCTCGTTTGCTCTCAGTCACTTACAGCTTGCTCGTGTCTCTCTTAGCCTGCGTCTTGCTCCTCTGACCCCGATTTTCGTGTCAAAAACACGCATGTATTTTTATATGGTCCTAAGTGCAAGTCAGGAACTTCATCTGCTGAAACAAAGAGATAGCGATTTATTCCCACGGGAGGGCAGACTGTGGGTGTTGACTTTGGACAGTTGATAGTTAGGCCCCAGCATAGTGCCTCCCAAACTCGGTTTTCCCTCAATTTGCTGATTTCCAAACCTCAGTTATATGAGCCAGGGCTCCGCTGTGCCGAGGAGCAAGCTGGAAATGAAGATGCAGTTCCCACAGCACACGGAGGCTGTGGGCAGGTGTCCGTGGCAGTCCCTGACCTTGCCCGCTTCCCCAACAGATCCTGCAGGAGTTGGAGTACGGCCCCTCCGTGGACTGGTGGGCCCTGGGGGTGCTGATGTACGAGATGATGGCTGGGCAGCCCCCCTTCGAGGCCGACAATGAGGACGACCTATTCGAGTCCATCCTCCACGATGACGTGCTCTACCCGGTCTGGCTCAGCAAGGAGGCTGTCAGCATCCTGAAAGCTGTGAGTCCTTGCCCTCCCCCATGCCGCTGCTCCCCTGACCTCTCGCCCTCTTCGCCCTCTTCGCCCTCTTCGCCCTCTGTCCCTGTCATCCCTTCCTGGTTCCTGAGGACTCCTCTCTCCCTTCCTCCCCTCCTCTCTGCCGTCCCACCTCTGCTGCCGAATGAGAGGCCTTGCAGGCTGTCACAGCGGGGAGTTGAGGCACAAATTGCTTTCTGCGGGACTGGGACACGTTTGTGTCTCCTGAGAGGGAGCTCTGCACGTGTCTGCGTGCTCCTGAGTTCCACAGGGAACACAACCAACCCAGACTGTGCCGGCGTCATTTCTGCCACATGTACGCCGGGCCTTGGACCCTGCCTCCTCCCCTGCCACCCACGCCTATATCCTTCCACTGGAGCCTGTGATGGGCAGGAGGGAGGTGGTCACTGCGCAACTGTGTCCATGACAGCATCTCTGTGGCTGAAGAGCTGATGAGAAAAGAAGTGCCCGCTCAAGACCTGTGCAGCCGTGCTGGATTCAGACACGATAGAGAGATGGTCCCCAGCCCTGCAGATAATCCCACACATATGAGATGCTTAGCACTTGCCCAGCACGGCTGTTTCTGCGACGTAAGCCACTCAGATGAGGGCAAGTAAGTGAAGTTCCCCGTCCGCCTTGGAAAGCTGTGGAAGGCGGGGTGCAGGAAAGGTAAGCAGAGCAGTTGACCTGCTGGGTTGAGGCAGGACTGAGGTGACGACAGCCTAAGAACTTTGACTTCCAGTCCTGGCTTCTGTCGCCCATTAGAGTGCGGCAGAGTTCAGTACCTGGCACATCACATTCACCAGGTTTTCTGTATCCAAGTACCTTCTCAACTGTGATTTACTTGTTCCCTTCAGTCAACTACCGATATTTACCTAATTCTAGGTTTTTTACCAAGAAATTTTATATCACTGTCATAAACAGAAAACCAGTATCATTTACCGTAAATAAGTAACATCGATCATCATAGGAAAATGGCAAAAAGACCTCACATCATTCTGTCGGTGCCACATCATTCTGGAAAGTGCCACATCAGAGCATGCTGTTCTCTCCTGCGGCTCTTGCTTTCTTCCCCTTCCTTCTTTCCCTCACCTCATCCATTTCCCTTTGTCTCCCTCCCCCTCCCCATCAATAATTCAATGACCGGCTGTTTTTTGAGGGTTTCCCATGTGTGGGGCATCACGCGTCGTGCCAAGTAAGCATTGGCGAGTATAATAGCCATCGTCCAGCAGGCAAAAATAAATAAAAAAATACATCCACACATAGTCACAGCTGAGAAGCAAATAGAGAATGTATATTCACTCATCCCGTGCAAAGCAGTGAGCATCAAGTATGCACGAGGTGCTGTGTCAGGTGCCGGCTAAGGAGAAACCCGCAGGCAGCACCCGAAGGGGCCAGAACACCAGCGTAGCAGAGCTGCTCGCTTGCCCGGGGCCCTGAACGCCAGCCCCACAAACCGATAAGCCCCCTGCCAGCACCCCAGCGAGGCCCTTTCATTTTTGGATGACCCAGAGCAGTGTTTCTCAACAAGGTGTGATTTTTTGCCCTCCCACCCCTGCCCCAGGAGGTATTTGGCAATGTCTGGAGATGCTTTCGCCATCACAACTGGGAGGGGGGTTGCTGCTGGCATCTAGTGGGTGGAGCCCAGGGACATTGCTAAACATCCTACAATGCCCAGGACAATTCCCACAACAAAGTATCCAGTGCAAAATGTCATTAGCACAGAGGTTGAGAAACTTCGACCTACAGAGATTCAGAAGCTAGAGATCATGCCTGTGTCGGCTGGTTGGTGAGGGCAAAGTCTCTGGGAGAAGGCATCTTCCCTGCGAGAAGAGCTTCTGACTCAGGAGCAGCTTCCTGAGATGTTAAAACCTGTATGTTTATCAGTAGCCCTGATACTTCCTCTCCCAGAAGTGGAAGGGCAGGAAGAGCTAAGGAAGTAAGGAAGAGTCTTTACTCCCTTGGCCTTGGAACATTTTACTTCCTCACATTGTCCCTTGATTCTCGGGCCAGGCCAGGTTTTCCATGACTCTGGCCACTGAGCTGTGTCTCTGAGGGCTGCTACCTACATGAAAGTGGTGCAGAACTCTGTACAACCACGAAAGTGGCGCAGAACCCTAGAGAAGGTCATTTACATCATAGAGTTATGCAGTGCCCAACCTGTGCAACAGTAAGTGCTGGTCTTAGTGCCTTCCTTCCTCAGCACTGTGCTCTGAGGCCCAGCATTCAGCCCCGCACTGAGTCATTTAAATGTTCTGAGTGCATAATAGAAGCCAGGCACTGAACCAGGTACTGAGAAGATAGGACTGATTCCTATATCCTAGAGCTCACAAGGGAAAGAGAAGTTTAGGCAAATTATAATTTAAATAAACAAGAAACATGAGGTCCCAGGTACCTACACAGCAGGGAATCTGGGGAGGCTTCACAGAGGAGGCAGCATTTTGACTGGTTCTTAGAGGGTACGTAGGGACTGGACAGGGGCATTCAGCCAGGGGAATAAAGCATACTAAAGGCCAGCCAAGGTAGACTGGGTTCAGACTGAGAAGTTTCTGTGTGCCAAAGTCTATGGACTTTATCCTGCGGGCAGTAGGAATCAAGAGTGTTGAAGCAGGGTAGCCTCTGCTGACTTTTAGATTTACGAAGGTGAAGTGTGCGTTGGTACCATTCTACCTTGGATCTGCCCACCACCCCTTCACTCTCTTACCTGTCGCTCTCCCAGCGGTGTGTCCACGTGCTTTGGCTTCAGGAGCACCAGGCAAGTGTCAGTAGGAGACGCTCCCTGCCCAAGAAAATCTCCCTTGCTAATGAAGCCTGAAAGTGTCAATATAGAGTTCTTCCTTTGGATTATGGTTGGTCCTCTTAAATTTCTTCATTTAAATACAGACGCTCAGCCTTCACCCTGTGAAATGTAACTCTTGTCTCTAGCACAAACGCGCGCGCACACACACACCCCTGCCTCTATTTTGGGTGGCTATCAGAAATATTTCCACCTATCAGTGGATTTTTTTTTTTCAAGGTTATTTGGTACACATCTACTCAGATTAGTTGCCATCAGAACTGACTCACTTAATAGGAATAAGCTCATCTCGGTGTGTGGGGAAATATGAGGGCTACGGATAAAAATACAGATTTTTACATCTCGGGAAGCTGCCCCCAAGCCAGAGGTTCTTCTCCCAAGACGTCAGCCAACAAATATAAAACATATCAATGTGGTTTTTACAGACAAACATTGAGAAACCATAAGCTTTTCCTTTTCTTGTTTTTTTTTTTTATCAGTTGATCTACATGGGTATTGTATGCTAGAGATTACAAATTCAAATTTAAAAAAAAAAAAGAGGGCCCCGGGGCCAGGAAAAGGAGAAGTGCAGGAGGTGCCTTTGATAATTTACCTTAGCATGAATATCTGTTCCTCTTTCCTTCCCTCAGCAAGGACCTCAGTGTAAATGAATTTATCAGACCCTAGTCTCTCTGATGAGAAGACTCGAGAATCTGAAGAGAATCAGGGAGTTAGTAACAGCCCAAGCTCCTACTCCCAGCATGGTACTTTGTTGGCTGTTTGACCTTGGCCGAGTTAATTAACCTCTCTGTGCCTCAACTACCTCACTTATAAAATAGGGACAATAATAGACCTCAGAGGCTCGCATTTGGATGAAATGAGTTAATGTTTGCTATGTTTAGAATGGTGCTGACACATAGTAAGTTCTAGACAAGATTAAAAGAGGACCCTGGGGGGCAGACCCCCCAGAAGTGCAGGAAACAGGCTTGGGAGAGGGTGCTGAAGACCTTGCCCTGGCTGGCTTCCATCTTTTATTCGAAGCGTGTCCCTGCCAGGTCTTTGTCACTAATTCCGTCCTGTCCTCCTTCCCACAGTTCATGACCAAGAATCCGCACAAGCGCCTGGGCTGTGTGGCGGCCCAGAATGGTGAGGACGCCATCAAGCAGCACCCGTTCTTCAAGGAGATCGACTGGGTACTCCTGGAGCAGAAGAAGATCAAGCCGCCCTTCAAACCTCGAATTGTAAGTAGGGCCCAGAGCTCATTCCACACTGTGGGTCGGGCCTGGGCGCGTAGACAGAGTGGTCTGGGGCACTCTCACAGCCCAAATGACAAAGGCAAGTGGTAGCCAGCATCCCCCGCCCCCCGCCCACCGCCGAAAGAGCCTTCCAAGGCCCTAAGAGTTTACTGTCAAAAATACGTAACCTAGAGCCGTATCCAAGATGGTGGTTTACATGGGACACAGAAGAAGACTTTTTGATTTTAACAGAGATCCATCTATGGCTTTCACAAATGCCACATTCTGCATACGGTAGAGATACACGGTCTCTTTATAAATAAACAGGTCTGCTTTATAACTGAGTCAACTTAAAGAAACCCACTCAGTAAGAGCCACAGTCAGAGTCAGGATGTGGCCCTAGCGCAGAGTGTGAAGGTAAGGCCCGGGACCCAACACCCGGGGAGGGCCGTGCTGCGCTGAGCCTGGGGACCGAGCCTGTGAGAGGCGGTCTGTGGAGAGCTCCCGCACCTGCTCGGCTGCGCCGTCCCTGCCGAGCCCTCTCCAGCCCCAGCCCACACCTCCGTGCAGCTTCTCAGCCCCGTGGCGGTGATGCCTGTCCCCGGGGGCTGCAGTAAAGTGTTGTTGAAGCTCGGCGGCTGGAAAGAGGAATCAGAGGGCAGAGGCCATGTGCTGGCCGTGACCTCCTGCTGGAGGCCAGAGGGTTGGCAGTGCCGTCCTTCAAGTGTGTGTGCCTGCCTGTTCAGGGGGCGTATCTTAAGTCTGTTGGCGTGTCGCCTGATGAGGCAATCATCCAGACTGAAAATTGGGGCGCCAGCTGGGCTAGTCCACTGGGAGCACAGGGAATATGTAACATGAGGAAATTACAGGGCAGGAGCCCCAGAGCGGTGGGGCTGGGATCCTGGGCGGGAAAAAAACCCGAAGTCATCCAGTCAACCCTCAGCCACCCCACTTTCTGTCAGGCGGTCCTCCCTCACTTCCAAGTACAGGAAAGACCCTCCCCTACTTTGTGAATCATCCATGAGGAATTCCATTCTATTCCAGGAGGTTTTCTGGGGAGCGATTACAGATAGTGCTGGGATTCTCAGAAATGTCCCAAGGAGGAGGCAACTCTCAGCTGAAGGCGTGGTGCACACCTCGGCCAGATTAGAACTTGGAAGATTGACTGGCCCTGGATGCTTGGTCGGGTCACCGTTCCTCATTTGCTTCCTCCTTCGGTTTTGATGAGTTTTGCTGGCTGGCACACAGCTTGGCACAGGCTAGATTTAGGTTCACCTTCTCTCTTTGGTAACATCACCTCCGCCCCTGCCCGTCTGTCTCCCCCTCGGCTCTGGGGCCTGCTGCGGCTCTGGGCAGGGCGCACTGCACATGACGGCCTACTCCAAGGCTGCCCCCACCCCTTCACCTGGAGGGTCTCTGTGAGTAGTCTTCAAGGACAAGTTTAACCGTGTCCTGGAAAAAGTGAGGCGAAGTAGGAAACCAGAGGTCAGGTGGGGAAGGAGGGGAAAACTAAAGACTCAGATATGAGGGTCCAATGTTAGTGTGGGTTTAGTCTAAGGTAATTAACCCAAAGCAAAGTGGGAAGTAGGGCTAAGTAGCAAATCCAGGCCCGACCAACGGGACCAATCAGCCAGTGGAGGTCTGCAAAATGACTTACATGACTCAAAGCTAGGCTTGCAGAGGGCTGGGCTGGACTAGAGGGGCAGCCCCTCCTGCGGGCATGGGGCCAGAGGACAGGGCAAGCCTGGGGGTGTGAAGGGGGGAGAGTGGGTCTGGGGTGTGCTGAGAAGCCACAGGGAAGCAGGGAGTTAGAGAAGATCTTGACAATAAAAGGCCCAAAGAAGTTTTAAAGTATAGATTCATGGAGAAGAGTCTCTCTTTGGGGTAAACAGATGGCAGAACAATACTCAAATCCAGCAGAGGAGAGTGCTCTGAGATTTCAGGGGCCCCGTGAAGCTCCTGTCTCTAGAAGCCCTTCCCCAAGGCCTAGCAATACCAGGGATTCCTCACCGGGCTGCCATGCTATGTCTGAACTCTGAGCCAATGAAAGGGCAAACCTAAGAGAAGTGACCTTTTGAGCTGTAGCTGGCTTCCCCAGAGTGAGAGAAGGGCGTGAAGAACTAGTGTGAGGTTTCTGTGGGCCTGCGGGATGGAGAAGGAGCCAGACATGGAGGAAGGGAGGAAAGAGAAAAGAAAGACCCAGGAAGCCAACCCGTGACCCAATCCATTGGTGGGCAGTGGGCAGGCCTCAGCCGGCTGGGACAGACAGGGATGGCTAGCTGGGAGTGCAGGTGCTCCTGTGGACCAGGGTGGGTGCCCGGGGAACCAGCAGTAGAAGTACATCCCTGCATGAGGGGGTCAAACTCACCTGGGGGCCAGGTGGGACTCCATCTCCACCCAGAGTCACAAGGGACCCATGCTTCCCTCCCTTGGGCCTCTTGCAAGCCCCCAGCCTGGAACCAGAGGGCAGGACTCTGCTTGCTTGCTTTGCTCAGGGGCTCTAGGCTTCCTGGGGTGTACCCATCCCCTGGGAGGATGGCAAAGAGTAAGGACAGGGGCCATCCAGGAGCTCCCAATGATGTCCACCTGAATCCGCATTCCCAAAGACTGAGTTCATCCTTGCTTCACACATCACCTTCTGTGCATGTTCCTACTCGACCCCACAGACCTCCAGAGTTATCCTGGACACTGTTGGGGGCCGGGGGAAGGGCATTTATCCGGCTGGTTTGAATTCCATTTGGAAGAGAGAGTTGGAACATCTGAAGGAAGGATAAGAAGGGAAACTTGCATCTTGCAAGAGACGTTTCTAGGCACATTTCGAGCCGAATACTGTTGATCCTTACACAGTTCTCAGCTACAGGTCTTTAAAGTTGTGTTCAAGTTATTTAAGTATCTGACCGCATTTATATCCTTGAGATTTCTCTCTGGAGAAGTATCAAAATGGGAAAGAAAAGACCAGTCTACATCTCATTATCAGGTGGGAAAGATGTCCCAAGTCTGTCCCTAAGTTGAAAGCTCTTTTCTGAAGAATGTGGATGGTACCATCTTGCATCCTCCATGGGCTTGTATACGGCAGAAATAAATTTTAAGTTGAATTAAAGCCCACCACAGTGAAGAACATACTGAAAGCCTCACAGGACCCCTGTGGAACTCATGCAAGGTTTTTATAAACCACCACCCACCTCTTACTAACTCAGGATTAACCCTGGGGTACGAGTACCCACTGTCTCGGATACCAGCAGTGGGGATGGCTACACTTCATACACAGGGCCAGGTACCCACAGGCAGAACAGGTACAACCCATGAGAGGTCACTGGAGAGACACGGGGGGCTAAAGTATATCCCCCAGAAGTTGTCCCCTGTTTACAGGGCAAGGGTTCCATCACAAGACAGGCTGTCCTTGGGCTGAAGGTATCCCATAGTTTTAGGGAACATCAGATGCCTTTTGAGGCAAGCTGGGAAGAAAAGGTTTTGACAGAGGGAGGAAGGAAAGCGGGTTTGGAGCCTGGCATTGGGAAGATGTGGACAGGATAGTGGGTTGTAAGCCACCAGGGATAGGGGGAGGTTCTTGGATCTTAGGGACAGACTCCTTGAGAAAGGAGAGGACAAGTATGTGAGCAACATCACCAGCCTTGCGATTTGGGGGTGGGCTCAAGAAGACATGGGGCGTGTGCTTTAGAAGGCAGTGGAACCAGATGCACAGACCACCCCCGCCCCCAGTCTCATCGTGCTAAAAATCCCCAGGGCATTCAGTCAAAGACCTGGGGCCCTGAGGGAACTCTGGAGCTCCTTCATCTTGGGCTCGCTCCATTTGCTCCCTACCTGTGTCCTGTTGACATCACACCAAAATGCCACCCCCCCGCCCGAGAAAACAGCTGGAGAGCGACGACCCCACTGAATTAGCTGGACATACCGAATCTAAGGACTTGGGCAGGGTCCTGCCTGTCTGATTCAGGAGGGAATTGGTTTTGTCTGGTGGGAGGTGCTGGAGGTGAGGCTGGGCGAAGTCATGTTATCCAGTCCAGGCTTAAGAAGAGCCCAGACATAGTGCTATAGTTTCTGGAGCTCCTGACTCTTCCCAGTCCTGCGGCATGGTTGGAGCTCCTCCACAGCAGAGCCTGCGGTGGGAAAGCAAGCCCACCTGCATGCTGCCCAGGCTGGCTCAGCTGAAGCCTGGGGTGCCTCGATCACCCCCACAGGGGCTGATGATACGGCAAGTTCCCGGGCCTGGTTTCCATCTTCTCTGTAGGAAGCCTCGCCCCTCCGAAGATCTGACCAGCAAGATTGTCCAGATTTGTAGTTGGCCTCTGGCTTCTGGCCTCTGGTCCAGTTCCCTGGTGTACCTTGAGTGGCTGCTCTTCCCTCCAGGCCTTTACCTTCTTGAGATGTTTGCTAGGCTGAGATTTCTGCTCCCTGGCGCCTGAGCCTCCCTGACTAACCCCTGCCCTGCCTCACCAGCTGTCAGCCCGACCGGGTGGCCCGCCTTTGCGTTTACGCCCCCTTTGCATCACCCCCACTGCAGAACATTTTGCAGTGGCCCCTGCTTCAGTGGGGAGATTTCCTCTCATTCATCCCGCCAGCATTCTTGTATACTCTCCCTCCTTCCCTTTCCCTTTTATATTCCTCCTGTCGGCCCCCTCACCACCCACGGATTCCGACTTTGCGCAAGCGATGTGCCATCAACGCCAGACCAAAGACTTTGTGCCATCGTGTGCTCACCTGCATCTGGAGGAGGCCCGCGTCAGAGCAGGGGTGCACAGGGTGGGTGGCAGGCCCCCCACCCCACCCCCGGCAGCGGGCGGGTGGGGGAACCGAGAAGCCAGTGAGGCGGGAGCCCAGACCTCTGGTGCTGGGGAAAATCTCCCAGCGTAGAATCCGTTTGCGCGTCCCACTGGGGATTCCGTTCCGAGGTGGCGGCATCACCCAGGAGCCCGTAAATGTAGCACGGTCTGCTTTTGCGTTCCTAGTGGGCTCGCCGCCTCGGGGGGCCGTAGTGGGCAGAAGTG